CCACTCATTAAGGATCTGTTATACATAATTTTTTCTTAACATCATTGTAACCTTCTTATATTTTTCATTTGGATTACTATGTTTTTCTACATATTGATAAACAAGTGATTTGACTAAAATTTATCCACTGAATTGCCTGATTTATTGACAGAGTAAGCTGAATGTTTTGGCATTTTATAGATGTAGCCAAAGGCACACACCAAACAAGCAAACTGAATGGGAAAATGCTTGTGACAGTTTGGCCGGAGGGTACTGTCAAGCTCCCCTGGCATTCTAGAAGATCCCTTCCCAGGGAAAGCAAAGCGCATGGCAAGACAAATTATCAGATCAGGTCAGCATCAAATTTCAATAACCATGGAAAAAAAGGTAGGAACGGGTGGCACACTCGAATCAGGAGCTAAGCACCAGGTGGTATCAAACATATATGAGGGTGTGACTTATCTGACCTTTTTATGACATTTGACCTTGATGGTCACTTGATTTCAAGATAAGAGTTGGGAAACTCCTGTGGCTTGGGCCATATGGTTCCAGATGATTCAGTTACTGACAAAATCACTAATGGGGGAAGATATTTATAGAAGTATAGAATCCCAAACTAACAAGGATTGGGCCTGCTCTAATAGTTACTGACCACATTTCACTTGCACTGTTAGATTCCTTTTTGAAAACTGTCTCTTAAAGGGATAGTTTCAGACTGTAGTCTGAAATATGAGTCTTTTCAGAAGAGGATTACTAGTGAGATGAAGGGACTCCAAGTCATGACATAAGGAACCCAGGATGTTTAATTAGGAGTAAAAAATACTTAGGGAGGGTTATTTTTTAGAGGAGGGATCAAATTTGTCCCCTGTGGCTACATATAACAAATCTAGGAACAGATTTCAGCTTGATATAAGGAAGAATTTTCTGTGACTTGGATCAGCACTAACAAAAATGGGCAGCCTTAACAGCATTGCCTGTTATCATAGGTCTTTGGATACACTGAGGTAGGGTACACAATGGGCAGGAAGAGGGTAGAGGAGAGTTCTGAAGTGTATGAATGCTTGGGCCAAGTCAGTCATTAGTAGACTACCGGATCTGTATGACCAGTTAGTGAAGATTCAAGAAAAAACAAAAATACTGATATAGATTTCCAACTTTTAATTTTTTTAACCAAGTGAAGTCTGATAAGGTTTTAGAGGGGCAATAGATAACATTTCCCTTGTCTTCCTGAGTCTGAAATTCATCAGAATTTGGAGCCAGAATGCCTGGGTTTGAATATAGACTGTCACTTACTAGCTGAGTGACCTCAGGAAAATTCTTTAAACCTTCTGTGCCTCAGTTTCTTCATTTGTAAAATGGGGATAATAATACCTACCTCAAGTATAAAGCATGTGAATGGCATGTTGTTCATAATAAGTGCCTTCAAAGTGTTAGCTATTAGCTCTTAATTGGCATACAGATACAGAAGTTAGCTGAAAGATCAAATGTCACCTTTAGCACAGATACAACTGAAGTGGAGATTATGGATTTAGATCTTCAGCCAAATGGGTGTACTAATACGTCACCCCTGATCAGTTTACCCATCCAGTCATTGACCCATCTGTACAACTGTAGGTCTTCTCCATAGAAGTTGGTTTCTTTCCTGTTTGGCATAGAATGTGGGCATTTTGTGGATAAGATGGCTCTAGAAAGTGAGAAACTCAGAAGGGGCCAAGTCAAAGACACTCACTTTTTTCTTTGAAACTTACTAAATAAAATAATTCACTTTTCCTACTATGGTGAGGAGTAAATGAAGAGTAGGGAAGGTAGGAGTATTTTTCTAGTGGAGCTCTCTTTCCATGTATATATGAGGCAAAAAATGAAGGTTCACCCTCTAAGGAGAACACTAGGGAAAGAAGAAAAAACAAACTATCATTTAAAACACCATCATTTCATACCCCAAAAGTAGAAAGGACATAATCTCAGAGTGAAGCAAAGTCCTTTAATATATTTAGCTTTCTACCACATTGCCCTTATTGTTTTACAGACCTGAAAGATTTCATTAGGATTTTGCACAAGTCCCTGAAACTGGCCTTTGGGAGCCACTGAAATAGATGACTTTTCAGATCCTTCTAACCATGAGATGTTTTAATTCTATGATAGAATTTCATTTGTACGTGGACCACAGAAGAGAACCAAGGGACTGGACCTAGGTCAAGGGACAGGCAGATCCTGAAAATGTGTTTGTAAAAGGGTTGACAGTCAGACCCAGAGCAGAGTACTTTTTCTCCTTGGAATTCTTAATCATATTTCCCAACTGTCAGTATGGAGAAAAATTTATCTAAAAAGACCAGAGGGTTATCGTGAGGAGAACTCGATGTTAAACCTCTGTGCCCAATCTTGAGCTTTGGGCTCTCCATTGCCAGCCTGTGCACCATAATAGTTGGAAGAAAAGACAGAAATGCCAGTTTTGGCATCTCTCTCAGTAATAACATTTCAAATGTCTTCGCTTTTTTTGTCTTAACATTTTATTACCAGCTTGTAGTTCTTCTCATCCCACGTGTGGTCCCACATTCCCCCTTGTGAACTGATGAAGCTACGTTGCAGAAAATTGAAATAGAAAACCACATATCCAGGGCGATTTATCATTAATGTGAAATTCTATCCAAACCTGAAAGTCAAGGAACAGGAATCCCAAGCTGTTTCAAAATTCATATTACAAGACAGACAATCAGATGCCCCAAACCACAACATCTTGTACTCTATTAATCGTACACTGACAGAGCCCTTTGGTTGCATTTGTATTTCCAAATAAATACAAACATATGTCACCATTTTTTATTGATTTTGTAATTTCCTAGGAAGGAAACGCTGTTAAATTATAATAAACGGTGTCAACTAAAACAAATAGTGCAAAACCCATTAAGAAGGCATTTGTTGCAGAACTTGGTTTGATTTGTTGGCGTCAGTTGAAATCATGTCAAAATCATGTCTCTGGAAACCAAATAAAAATTTGTTTGCAAATTTGTCTGTGGCAAGCATTTCTAGCACATAAAAATCCTTAAGAATCAATATGGTTTTATTCAGTATGCAAATGTATTGAAAAGCATTATGGCAAAAATTCCATTACTGAATTATATGATAGTGTTAGTGAATTAATAAATAATAATAGATGATAAATAATATAGGGACTGAACTAGATAATACATTTATGAAGAAGTAGAGGGAGAAAAAGATTAAAGGGATAGTCTTGGGAGAAGATCAATTTTCAGATAAGCTAAAATAACATTTTATATTCAGAAAATTAATGGAGTTAAGTCCTGTAACTCACAAAGTCCAGTTGAAGTAAATTTCACTGCAGACTGTAAAAAGGAAAGGAGATGGAAATTGCCTAGTTCTGAAGTGATAACCATTGGAGTTCTAATATGAATCAGTCTGCATCTATGATTTGCATGACTGTGTTTGCCTTCCAGGTAATTGGGAATTTAATTGCTATCGGGATAAAATTCGAGTATTATTTGCAAATTATATCAATGCAATGTATCCCAATGTGCGTTTTTGAGAGTGATTGTAATTAGGCAAATGGAAGGGCTGCAGTTGGTGCTGGACTTCAGTATAGAACTTAAAAAGAGCTTATCTTCAGCATACTCCAGATTCTCTTCTGCTACTACCCTCTTGTTCCTCACCTTACAGTGGTGTTCGAACTGCATCTGACCTTTTTGTCCCTCTCTCTGTTTCCTCCTCACACTGAAACAGACCCCTTCTAATCTCATTCCTGATATGTTTAAAGGAGCTCGTTAATGTCTTTATCCCTTATCTCTCCCAGATACTTTCTTTCTCTTTTTGCAAAGTAAAAAAATACAAAACCCAAGCTGAATCTCAACCACCATCTACTATCACCATAGTTTTATAAAAAGAAGGGTGCTTTAATGCCTCCCAGCCCCCAGGACATCATCTCAGGAAGGACATCATCTCAGAAAAATAGACAGCTTTTAACTGAATACATTTAGCTTTTTGACAAACTCTCATTACATTGACCTTATTTTTCTAATTTATTTTTTAAAAGCCAAATTTTATCACAGCCCAGCACTATTTTGTAAACTGATGTCTGAAAACTGCTGTGATGTTGCAAAGGGAAGGAGTACTGATTTTTTGTGGTGGGGTAAAGTATAGTTATGGAACAAAGCAGGATGAAGCTAGGAGGTTCATCTTAGAGATCAGACAGTAGCAACAGGCTCTGGGGTAAAGTAGAAAGAATACATGGAATATAGGGACGACAAGTAAGGCTATATCGGTGGGGAAGCATATTGGAGAGGGTTACAAGGACTTTACAAACATGGCTACTCAAGGGGAAATGACAATAGGTTCTTCCCATGGCTCTTACAACCTCCTTGACATGAATGGTTAGAATTGTAGGACTTTGTACGGTGTGGCTGGCCTTTTGCTGGCCATGTCACACTGTGCAGCCAGCTTCCTTGCTGCAGTGATTGGATATTGCAATTCCCCTTCCTCTGTAAGCACCACTGATATAAGCCCATTTTGGGTTGGCAAGACAGCATTTTTTATTGATTTGAATTCTGCAAAGTGTTCTGTAAGCAAAGTCTTCTAGAATCAGGGAGAGCAAAGTTGCTGAATTATGCATATGTTATATGTACATAGTATATTTGTACGCGTGTGTGTATTCCAACTTCTAAAACAGATTATACCAGTTTCTTTTTTTTTCCTTTGCAAAAAATAAAAATAAAAAAAATAAAAGACCAAAAGAGCTCAATCAAAGCTTCAACTAAGTGGTGTCAGGGTTCCAGCTTTGGGGTTGTTAGAAGCATCCTGAGGAAAAATTCAACAGAACAATGCCCTGTTGTTACTTGTGAGTGAAATCTACAGACCATCAGAGGGAGTACTTTAGCTGCTGTGAAAGGGCTCAGAGGGAGCCAGATAATAAATGTACAACAATCCAATGTCAGAAATGATCACTATTGCAAAATGAGACTGAAAGCCTTTTTTTTTTTTTTTTTTTTTTTTTTTTTTTTTTTTTTTTTTAGCAATTTATACAGATGAAGTCCCAACTCTGGCCACCAATATTAGCTGGATAATTCTTTGAATCTGGCTAATGTGGAATCTTGCAAGGACAAAGAGGATTTGCTCATGAACTGGTAAGAGAGGTACTGGTCATGCATGCTTAAATGTGCTAATAGTTCTGGTCTTTAATGGTACCAACTTAATGAAGATGATGTTATGCATTTTTAATTGTTCGCCTATGATTCGACATTAGCCATGCCTTTCTAATATGAAGATTTGTTGGCCAGAACTGACATTAGCTGAAAATGGATCTTTAACTTGTCAGTTCCTCCCACATCTTCCTTGCCTTTGTTTTCCCTCGTGCCTTTCAACTGAATTGATGAGCCCTATTTGCAGACCCAGATCACCCCCTAACCCTGTCCTAAATTGATGTTTAAAATGGCAGAAAATATATCAACAACCTCAGACTAATTTAACAGGGCTTGAAACACTGAGCCGGGAGTGAGCTTTGTGCGTTCATTACACCCCTGAATTGCAGTGCTCCTCGCCCCCTTTCTAGGTTACTTTTGCTCTGTTCTCCCACTGTGCAGTTTGTCCGGTAATTTGGCCTTGTTTCCCTCTAGGACTAACTCCCCATGCAGAACCTTGCCTAACTCCTGCCAAACTTTTCTTCCTAGACTCTGCCCTAGCCCATTTCTTTGATACCTTATCAGTTGGCAAGATATGGACATATCATGATGATGATGCACACTGTGCTTCACTTCTGGGTTGAAACCTTTCTAGAAGTTCTTGTTATTGAGTTGGCTCTCCTCCCTCTGACTATTATTTGAGGCTATAAACACTGCTCTAGGTATTCCCAACTGTCCTGGCTGAGATCCTGCTCTGCAAACTGTGGTCAGATTCCCTCAAAACCTATTCTAGTTAATGGGTCTTTGCTTGGTCCAACTTCCTCTCCCCTCATGCATTGTGGCTGAATCCATCTATGATTTGTCTTTGTAGTTGATGTGAAGGTTTCTGCAAAAAGCTCTATCTCCAAAGTCTCCATCTATGATACCTGAAATTTCTTGCTATTAGAGATTCAGTACTTTGACATAGGATATTGTCTATGGGTAATGTCTGTAAGAATGCATATATTCCAGGTGTCTCAGGGTGTTCTAGGTTAAGCTGTGGTAATGAGTAAACCCAAATATGTAATAGCTCAATATAATAGTTTATTTCTTGCTCACATAGCAATCCTGTGTGGGTTCTCAAGTCAGCACGGTGGTTCTCCTCCCCACAGTCATTTTGAGATTCAGCTTTTCCCCATTTTGTGGCCCCTCAATTCCCTAGGGCCTCATTGGCATCTATACACAGCTGGTGGAAGAAAAGAGCCAGACTGGAGTAAGACCCTTTTCTTAAAAGCTTTGACCTGAAGGTGGCGCCCTGTACGTATTCTCACATGCCATTGGTCAAAATTCAATCACATGTTCACATCTAATTGCAACGGAGGCTGGGGAATGTAGTCTAGTCATTTTGCCAGGAAAAATATGGGAGAATAGATTTAGGAGGACAGCTAACAGTTGCTGCCATACCAAATAGGGATAACATGCTAACTCGTTTTCAGTCTTTAATGCCCTAACACAGTTTGGCTAATTAAATTGCTAATATCTTGGAAAACAGATGACGAAATAACAGGATATGAGCTAGGTCAGGAGAACAAAGTAGAGGAGTGTAGAGAATACATAGCCAAACAGTTCGTTGAATGGAAAGGTCAGATTTCCTTGAGGTGAAAAATTTGCAGAGATAGTGAGAGGTGACAACGTGCTAGCAGCCCTAGCTCGCTCTTGGCGCCTCCTCAGCCTCGTGTCTGCTCCGGCCGCACTTGAGGAGCCCTTCAGCCTGCCGCTGCGCTGTGGGGGCCCCTCTCTGGGGCTGGCCAAGGCTGGAACCGGCTCCCTCTGCTCACGGGGAGGTATGGAGGGGGAGGTGCGGGAGGGAGCCGGGGCTGTGCAGGGCACTTGCAGGCCAGTGCGGGTTCCGGGTGGGCACGGGCTCCAAGGTCCCGCAGCCGGCGCCTGCTGGGCTTGATCAGGGAAGAGCTCCCTCTGGACTGCCGGACTGCCCGGGCTAGGAGCCGCAAAGTCCCACAGGGAGTGCCAATGAGGAGTAAAGCTGGCTGGGCTTCTGGGAGGGGCGGTTACTTGGAGAACTTTTCTATCTAAAGGATTGTAAATGCACCAATCAGTGCTCCATGTCTAACTAATCTGGTGGGGACTTGGAGAACTTTTGTGTCTAGCTAAAGGATTGTAAACACACCAATCAGCACTCTGTGTCTAGCTAAAGGATTGTAAACACACCAATCAGCACTCTGTGAAAATGGACCAATCAGCTCTCTGTAAAATGGACCAATCAGCAAGATGTGGGTGGGGCCAGATAAGGGAATAAAAGCAGGCCACCAGAGCCAGCAGGGGCAACCTGCTCCAGTCCCTTTCCAGCCTGTGGTGGCTTTGTTCTTTCCCTCTTCCCAATAAATCTTGCTGTTGCTCACTCTTCGGGTCTGCACTGTTTTTATGAGCTGTAACACTGCGAAGGTCTGCAGCTTCACTCCTGAAGCCAGCAAGACAACGAACCCACCAGGAGGGACGAACAACGCTGGATGGGAAGAATGAACAACTCTGGATGTGCCACCTTTATGAACTGTAACACTCACTGTGAAGGTCTGCAGCTTCACTCCTGAGGCCAGTGAGACCACGAACCCACTGGAAGGAATGAACAACTCCAGACGTGCCACCTTTAAGAGCTGTGACACTCACGGCAAAGGTCTGCAGCTTCACTCCTGAAGTCAGCGAGACCATGAACCCACCAGAAGTTAGAAACTCTGGACACATCTGAACGTCTGAAGGAACAAACTCTGGACACACCATCTTTAAGAACTGTGTAACACTCACCACAAGGGTCCGTGGCTTTATTCTCAAAGTCAGCGAGACCAAGAACCCACCAATTCTGGACACAATAGGACTCTTATAAAGTCAGGGGTCAGGCTGGGCACAGTGGCTCATGCCTGTAATCCCAGCATTTTCGGAGGCCGAGGCTGGTGGATCACTTGAGCCCAAGAGTTTGGGACCAACCTTGGTGACATGGTGAAACCGCATCTCTACTAAAAATACAAAAATCAGTCGGGCATGGTGGTGCCTGCTTGTAGTTACTATAGAGGCTAAGGTGGGAGGATTGCTTGAGCCTGGGAGGTGGAGTCTGCAGTGAGCCATGATTGTACCACTGCACTCCAGCCTGGATGACAGAGCAAGACTCTGTTGGAAGAAAGAGAGAGAGAGAGAGACAGAGAGAGAGAGAGAGAGAGAAAGAAAAAGAAAAGAAAGAAAGAAAAAGAAAGAAAGAAAGATCGGTCAATATGAGGGTACTGGGAACAGGAGAGACAAGGGGATGGAAACAAAGTAAAGATGAAAAGGGTGTCTCAGTTTGTTTCACGTTAGCCCTGCTTTTACACCCAAAATGCTTCCCTGGTAAGGGTCTTCAAAATGTGAATAATCCAGCGTTGTATTTAGTTCTGTGTCATCTATCTTTGTGAAAGAGAGGGAGACAAATACTCCCAGAGCCTAGGTTCTTAGTGTATTCCACCAGGTTCCTGATCTTATAAGATTTTTCAACTTAGTACAAAACCAGAAGAATTAAAATCCCATCAATTTCACCATTCTTTGGTCTTTGCTCAGGTCACAATGAAAGGATAGTTTTCTTAGAGCTATTCCTTTGGTGTTAGGTTACCCACTGGGAGCCTTATTATATATGAGGCAAAATCTCTTCATATAGGAATGGGTTCTGTTTCCTGTTAGACATGCCACGTTACACAAACAAGGACTGACCCCTAGTTCATTTATGTCTTCTTTTCTTCCACAGCCCTACAGACTGTGAGAGATTGACCCATGCTGGTGACTGACCAACACATCCTTAGCTAGCTGGGTCAGAGCATGAGTTGGTTCAGAAGGGGACAGGGAGGTGAGTGGGAAGCTGGAGGTTGCCAAGCAATGAACCTCAGATGTTATCTGCAGAGCTGTTAATGGGGCTGAATCTGATTTGTGTTTAGCCTGTAAGCACTTTGCAAAGGTAGATGGGAGGCAAAGGTCTGGAGATGCAGAGGCATAGAAACCATGGAGTTTGCTTTTTAGCTTGTGTCCTGGATATGTTCACTGGGCAGCAAAAAAGAATCACTGAAGGTGGAGAGTCATGGGCAGTCAATCCATTCTGGATGAATAGATTTCTAAGGGTCTCAGGGCCTCATTAGTATAGACAGTTATCCATGTAATGTGATGTGAGGCGTGCTCCAAAATATCATTTTCTTGCAATGCCTGAAATCCCATCATTAAAGATCACCCTTTGAAAACCTTGCAAAGCAATTATAATAACTAAGTTTATTTAATAAGAAATTATGTAGCACTTACTATACACTAGACACTATTCTAAAGGCTTTATAGATATTAACACACTTATTCCTTGTAACAACCCTATGAGGAAGGTACTATGTTTAGTATCCTCATTTTACAGATGAGGAAACAGAGAGAGAGAGAGAGAGCGAGAGCGAGCGAGAGAGAGAGACCCAAGAACACACAGCTAGTGAATGGCAGAGCCAATATTACAAACCCAGGCAGACTGGCTCCAGAGTCTGTACTTTTAACCATTATTCTACACTGCCTTTTATATCATAGTATGTTACATTGAATTGGGGGAAGTGTAACCCATTCTAGCAGAAATTTATTAACCTAACCATACTATTACCCCTTCCACCTAGTAAAGAGCAGCAAGACTCTGAATGATTTGCAGGGAAGAGGCATAAGGGGTCCTGATGAGACTACTGCGGGAAGGAGGGTATCAGGATGAGGGTATTGTTAAAGGGTTAGATCCCCTAGCACTTAGTCTCCCTAAACATGCATCACTCAAGGAAAAGTGCTTTTATCTCTATCTTCTACTTTGTATGAATTGGAGACAGGGTCTCACTCTGTTGCCCAGGCTGGAGTGCAGTAGCGTGATCATAGACCACTGCAACCTCAACCTCCCGGGCCCAAGCGATCCTCCTACCTCAGCTGCTCAAGTAGCTGGGACCACAGGGACACGCCATCATGCTCAAATAATTTTTTTTTTTTTT